TGCACACTGAATTAGTGAGCACACCGAACACGCTGCACACTGAATTAGTGAACACACTGAACACGTTGCACACTGAATTAGTGAGCACACTGAACACGTTGCACACTGAATTAGTGAGTAAAGCAAACACAGTGAACACAGTTGCCAAGCGAATCCATGCCAAGCAGTGTTCAAGAAACTGAGTTTTTGGCATTACCTCTTCTCTGGCTCTCCTTCTGGCTGTTCTGGGCTGCGCACTCTGCGCTTCTCTGTCTTTCGGGACTCCGCCTCATGCCTCCGGGACCGAGAGGCCTCCAGCAGGGCTGAGGTCCTCTGTGCCCTCAGGTCGCCATGGTGACTGTCCGTGCTGGTGACCGTGCTCCCGCTGGCATCCGAGTCCAGCGAGCTCATGGAGCCGCTGATGTGGGAGCCGTTGGAGAGCAGGCTGCTGCCGGAGGGGAACGGGTCGCTCTGCGCGGGGGAGGGGCACCGGGGGATGCCCCCGAGCTCGGCGCTGTGCCTGCTGGACGTGCTGCCCGTGGGGGACAGAACCTGCGTGTCGTGTCTTGGGGGTGCGTGGAAGGAGATTCCACCCCGGTCCACCTCATCGCCATTCACAGAGCCATGGTCAGAGTGGAGCTCTGCTGCAGTCACCTCTCCTGTCAAGATACCAACAGGAGAACTTAGAACCGCAACTGGGCGTGAGAGTGTCTGTCCTTCTGGCAGCAAGGAGCAGCGGATACGGCTCTGGACCATTACTGCGGGGTCAAAGGTATGTGTGTAGACACTCTTGTATGTTTCATCACATTGCTTTGCCCTGATTTCACCTAAATTTTAAGCACAAACTGGTACCACTTACAAGGGATTATGTAGAGTCTTGTGCTCAAAAATCTCTTTACCTTGGAGAAATCATCTTTAATGTGCCACTTCAGGCGTAGCATACTTGCTATGCCTGGACAAACTCTTCCTTGATGGGAAAAATGCACAGATGTGCAATATACATCAATATAGAGAAGTCACTCAGAAAAAGGAAAACCAGTATTATCACAAAGGAAACTATGAAGAACATAGGGGGAGTTCAAAACAGCCATGTTAGAATTTTCGCTTAGCTTCTCAAGATCAATTTTTCCTCCCAGTTCCAGTATTCGCAGGACAAGCTGCAAAACATGAACATTTTGGAAAATGGGCTAAGCTGCTTGGGTTGAGTGAGACACATGGAAGCCAAACCGCAGTGTTCTGTCCCTCAAATCTACCCTGCTGAAAAAGCTCTTAAGGGCCTGGCAGGATCTGGGAGTTTTATTCAGTCACTTCATACACACATTTGTTGAGGTACATTTCACAGCTGTTTCTTCAAAGGAATTGCTTGCTCATGGGAAACAGGCTGCATGTCGTGCTTTGCTTCAAGTTCAGCTGATCATTGGTCTGTAGAGACTAGGCAGGATACCTCATACTAGAATCCTGTTCTTTAGGAAACAGGTCATGTGGTAGGTTTATACAGGAATCAACTCACCATTCATTTCCGTGTAATAAAGGCACAACCTACTCTGCAGTAAAGCAGAGAGGACCAAGCCAAGCACTCAGGCTTTACTTGGAATACAGCACAAAACCACTAGACCGCTTTCTGCCATTCCTTGTCGGCCACACTAAAACATACTTAATTGATTCATATAATACAGTAAGCAAGTCGTGCACTGTGCACACCAAAAATTGAAGATTAAACCAGCATAAATGAAAAGACTAAATGAGTATTTAGAAGACCAACGATGGTGATCCTTTATGTGATAACAGATTAAATATGCACAACCTTGCCAAACCTTCACCGTGTACAATTATATACTCTGCTTTGCTTTGCTTCTGATATTGTGACAGGTTGTGCTTTACTATGCTGTACTCTGACTTTACCACCTCATGCCACAGTAAACCTTTCTGAAGGAAGTGTTCAAAGTAAGCCTTCAAAATGGCAGGGTAGCCATAGGAATCCTGTAATATAATCAAGTCCCACCTTAACAACATACCTCAGATGCTGCAAAGCAACTGTGTTTACAGAAGAACCTGGCCGATTCAATGTCACTGCCAACACGAGACCCTATACTACACAGGTTTATCTATACTCTTCATCACAGAGTACCATTAAGACAGCAACTAAAATGTACACAGATAAGGACGAAGGTGCCATTTGCTGAACACCAACACATACAGTATAATGCCTTTCAAAAACATGTAAGAGAGGATTTGCACAGCTGTAGATGACAATCTAACACTCCCTGGAAATGGGAGACAAAATACGCTTGAACACAATTGCATATTTCCTCAGTTCATACAGTCTTTGAAAACAGGAACTGTCACAGATCTTTATTGCAGTTTTTTTTTCCACAACAATGCCAGCAGACGTTCACAAACGGTTTGGTGAATAATCTGGATAGTCCTAGCTAGGACTGATTCGAGTTTTAAAGATTAAAATTATTTTTATCATAAAAAAGTTCACTGTAAGCACATATGTTCACTGTATAAAAATGTCATATGGAGCTTATAGTTGTACTAGTTTGTGGCAAAAAAATACACTGCTAATCATCACTGAATGTTTTGAAAATACAATACTGAATAGGTTTCCTTTATACACTGGCCACCACAGGGTAAATGTATTCAACACACATCCAGAATCCGATGCTGTACCTGGATGCTTTTATTCTCCGACCATATTCGTAAGTAGCCTTGAGCGGTTTTCATTTAATAAGCACGCTGCGTGCTGCTCATCGACATGTGTTTCTTTGTCGTTGAGAGCAAGAATGTTAAAGAAAGACCTTGAAGAAATCCTATCAGCTTTAGACTCCTTTCAAAGAGTTTAGGTAAAGAAAAATAAATAAACTGTGCTCACTGCAAGCCCTCAAAAAAAACAACAAATAACCAAGACTAAATTTTCAGAATGGTGAGGGCTCAGGGGGAGAAACCTCAATGTCTTTGCAAAAACCAAACTGAGCAGAAAAATAAAGAAATAAATATGATGTTTCCCACAGAATACCGCAGAACTAATTCCTGCGTGAGAGCGGTATTTCTGTTTTATTATTGTAGCTCATTATCTTTTGAAAACATTTGTCGAGACAGTGTGACACTGAAACGGGAAACTGAGCGAGAAAGTCAGACATGAAAGCCTGTGGCTGCGAAGGCTCTTCCTACGTACCCCCCAGGGGCAGCGCGGGGCCGAGCGAGCCGCTGTCGGATGGCGGCCAGCCCTGCACTGCTTCGGCCTCCCCGGTGTGGAGCTCTTCCTGCCATATGCCTGACCGAGAATCAGGGACCTTCTCGGCATCTGGAATCCCAGAACCTGTCACAGGCACCTTTGCCGGGCCGGGCTCCTGAACAAAGGCAGACATTTATTTTTACTGCACAATCAAGGACGATGCTTCCTGTTGCTTTTGGACAGAAAACAAACATCTGAAGACTGACATAACAAAGTTGAAGAAAATGATGAAAAGGGGAATAATAAGGAAACAAAATAATGGGGGATTTCAAAGCTCCTATAAAGGGCAGCTCTCGTTTGTCTTTATTTGACGTTACAAAGCACAGTCCCAGTCTTTGCTGAACGGAAATCCTAGCTGCAAAACAAATAAGAGACTGGCCCTTTTCACTGCTCTACTTTCAGATAATTTTGTGAAAGATACCATGCTCACGCTCTACCAGATCCCCCAAAAATCTTCTAATTGATAGTTTTAATCATGACATCTCAATCTGGGACTACACATTGCCATTTTCAAGAGTTCTGCCACCTCCCCAATTTAACACAAATAGAAACAGCTTTCCTGCGTCAGAGGGAAGGACAGCTGTTTCTTCCTGTCAATAAGGATACTCGGAGGACGTCACCTGTGAAGTTGTGTGCTCCACTTTGCGTTTCTTCTTCTGGTTGTGCTTATTGGTCTTTGGGTAAACAATGAGTTGTTCGTGCCACCTGGTAATTACGAAAACAGTCACGATCAGACACACTAATTTGGCAGGATGACAACAGCGATCGGAGAGGCTTGGATATTTATTAACATCGAATAAACACATTTGAACATTGGGTCAGAAGAGATGTAAATGGACAGGCTGTTGCAACAGAGGCTGCTGACAACCAGGTGGAATGTATGATTACATTTCTGAACAGTGATGCATCACAAAGCATTTTCACGCACTGCGCCACTGTTTCATCCTGTAAGGGTGAACAATAATTATACTGGAATCTGAAGGCTTCAGACAACTCAAACAACAATAAACAAGCTCATTTCCAGGTATCGAAGTACAAAAGGTGGGTAAAAGACTCAGGGATTTTTTTTTACTGTCAATTGCTAGGATGCTGTTCAAATGCAGTCTTGTTAAAAAGAGACAAGCAATGTGGTAATGCACTTTAATTTTCCACTATAAGCACAGAATGTAAATAAATAGTAAAAATAAATACAGTATTCCAGCATTTTAATTACCATAAACTGTCATTTATTCAGAACACCCAGACTTTAAATTTTCTCTTTTTTGTCGTATGTGACATTCAGAACCACATAAGTGAGAATATATTTTATAAAATTATCTCAATATATTTCAATTTCAGAAAGAAAATAGTTTTTTTCTCGAGAGGAAGAGTAAAAACAAAGGTCACGTCCATCCGCTTCACTGGGAATTTTGAAAGGCCCAGGCCCACATCTAATTCCTTAAAAATCCGAGACAAGACTGTGACCAGAGTCCCAGGACACAGGATCGAGACACCTTAGGAAGAGTACAACAGAGGGAACTGGCGCGGTGAAAAGGCTTTAAGCAGCTGTGAAAAGGATCGTTCTTTGATTACACAACACTGAGTTTCTGAACAGCAGAACAGGAGGGGCCAGATTATATGCCTTGAAACTAATCTACGAGTCAACATATGAATCATGAGTTCGTTTAGCTGGGACAGTGCTGAACAGTTAAGTGCCACGCCTCATATGATTTCGAAGCCTTCCTCCAAGGAAAATCATTTTCTCTGCTGCCTGTCTACTCGCAGAATTACCCCCGATGGAGCACACTGGCCACAATGACGAGACTCAGGCTGGGTAACAGCTGCAGGATTCTGCAAGATGTTTCTTTGATTCTAGACAGACATTCAACACATTGCAATGCTATTCAAAATACGTTCTTGAAAAGTGAAAGAAATAATAAGTGCGCCCAAGAAATAATCAGCAACACATTCATGCAGGCTGCAACAGCAAGTCGGATACTGTACCTTTCTCTCCAGGTCTCTTAACAGAGCAACTTTATGAAAGAAGAAAGTTATGTCATGGGATCTTAAAATAAAACAGAGTCTTTTCCCATGAACAACATCGTAATGTTAGTAGGACTGTAGCATCAGAGGGCCTGTTTCTACTTACCCGTTGATAATCTCTTTGTTTTCACCGCGGATGAAGTACTCCTGTTCTGGTGTTATGATGCACAGTGCGTTCTTTTGCCCAGTCTTAGGCTCAGCATCAATGACATCGGTGCACTGATTCATGTTCACTGTTCCCTGTGGCAGAGTACTTGGCTGGAACACAAGGAAGAATGACAACAAGACAAATAAGACAAACTTAATCGTTTCCATTTTGACACAGCATAAATTCACTTGCCAGCACATAAGAAAGCAATTTCATTGTTCCATTTATTATCAGCAGGCTGCTGACTGCTGGTAAATGTCATCGCAGGAACAAGCAACTATCAATATAAAATACCCATTCTGGTACAATTTACCTGTTTTCAGTTTGGGCCAATGGATTTTGTCAATGGTTCATGACATCCATGCAGCATGGAGATATTAAGATGTACCCTCTCATTTGTTCATTATTTTAAAAATGGCCTGATCTCAACTAGTAATTCTAGCTAAATGATTAATTCCATCCTGGCATTCTGCAGATGCAGAAACCTATCTGGTTGGCTGGTCTCAGCTCCCCAGGCACAAAAATGTTGGGAGCCTCTGCATTTTCTCCTCTGGCACCGCTGGATCTGGACCTGTCTATACACCTGTCCCGTGGTGCTAGGGGGCCTACAGTGGGGGCTGGAGTGATGCGGTCACCTTCAACCTTGCCAGGTACTGCTATCACAGCTGCCCCTACTTTTTTTTATTGCGAGGGTCCTTTGGGAAATTTGGAGGAAGTACCACAAAGTGTGGTGGTGGTGGTGGGGGGAGGTGGGGTTGGTGAGAGACTGTATGTTTTATTTCTCTCGGGAATGAAAAAAAAAAACAACGAAAATTGCTTTACAAAAACTCTCAATAACACTTTCCCAAAAACTGGAGAATTGCCATAACAATAGCTGAGCAAAGAACGACTACTGACGTGAACAAAAAAAAAATCACAATCCAGCAGGACGACCGATGGAAGGAGCCTGAAATCAGCCTTTGTTTTCCACTCCTCGCCTCACTTCGCGCTGTGACATCAGAATGGAAACAATGCAGCTGGAACTACGCAGGAGGCCAAGGACCAATCCCATCAAACACTGCGCAGCCGGCCAATCATACAGCCTGGAGCCTAACCTTCTGGCCTGCTGGTTGTCGGGCACTTCCTCCAGCTTTCAAAGGAAGTTGGTTTTCTGTTCTCACAGGTATAAAATTGAATACTTGGGGAATCTAAAAGTTGCCTAAGCAAAATTTAAAACCTTCAACAGAATTTTGAATATTCTAAGCACAGGCTCCTTATTGTATGGAAAAATATTGACAATGCTGTGCTGTATCATATGCACATAACACACATACACCAGTATAGAACTTTTCCTTCATTTCTTCCACTTTGCATGCTCTGTATACACAAGGGGTCAGCAACCCTGCCATGACAGCTTAAATAGAGCGCAGGTCAAAGAGACAGGACATTCCCCCTTTAATTGTGTTTCCATTCAAGACATCAGGGTTTTTCATCTCTAACTTTCTTAAATTCAACCTATTTATATTTATCTGAGCATCAGGATTAGTTGCAGGGTCACCAGCCTTATAGAAACCAAGAGGCCTGTTCCGCACAGTGTTGCGTAACTGAGAGAAACTCGGTTCATGCAGGACCTTTCGCTTCAACGAGGTGCACGACCTCTAGAAACTATACAGATTGCAACAGCTGTTAAAGCAGTGTTGTCTGCTTTCGCTTCAGTTTCTTAAACACAGACAGAGAAAAACCTTACAGGACAGGATCATAATGAGACAAATTTATACTGTGAATCTTGACAAACAGATTTATGGCAGCATTTCACAGAAGTGAAAGGGGTCAACATTTTGGGTTTCATGCAAAACCCCTACATAGCAGGCACAAAATGGAGAGCTTTCAATTGTTATGTAAAATGGATGTATTACAGGCCTGTTTACTGAGGAAGGCAAACTACCAGTGCAATTCTAACTGGTCTTTTCCAGCTATTCCACTAAAAAGGGTCACAGTTCCAACATGAAACTTTTCTGGCTTGCCCTTCCTGTAGGGTGACGGCATGGTAATGAAATAATTCATTTCCATGGCAACAGCAAAAAAAAAATCTTTCGCTCCACAGCTTTTCTGCTGAATGTAAGAGGCCGACAGACTAAAATCCCTCTGCTCAGGGTCTTTTTGTTTTGACGCAGGAGAACCAACTGAACAATCACTGACGGCCCAAGAAAGGAAGGAAAAAAAATACCCCCACCACCACCACCAGAAGGCTCCTGGGCCTCTCGGCATGGTGTGTTTACCAGTTCCTGTTTAAATTCTGAAAACAAACATGGAGAGCAACCTATCCCATTTAGCTAAGCAAACGCTGAATAGTTTCCAGTATTTACAATGGATGAGTGTTAGAAGCCTGAGGAGGAGTATCAAGTAGCTCACACCCTCTGATTCGCTACTCACTTCTGCAACTCATGGTACAGGATCTACCCCATATACCATAAAGATGGATATTACACAAGTTCTTGTTTGCTTTATTCACAGCTAATGGTTCGGAGACTTTCCAATGCAGCAGCAATCTAGGTTTGGGCCTTTATCAGACATGCTGCTGTTTCTGAGATATAAAACAGGTGCTTTCTTTTTCCTCATGCCTTTTATGGCCATTTCTGTGATCCTGCTTTATTAAAAGCTGCCAGTAGACCCTAGGGGCTGCCAAATATAGCAATTATAGTGTGTCATAGTAATAAACTGCAAAGGCTTTTGAACCTCGTAAAAAAAAAAAAGAGATGCAAGACCTTTAGCTCTTCATACCTCAGCCCAGACATTTTGTAACATCACTTAAAAAAAACTGGCATATTTGTACAACTATTTCTGTGAAAAAAAAGAACACGATTGAATTTATGCTGGCAATCTTTCTGGTTCGAGCTGGGCTGTCTGGGGACTCGGAGGAAGTGGTGACGATCTGAAAGAAGCACGGTCGACACTTCTTTCGAGAAGGGCCATGAAGAACTCTTTCTGCGCTGTACTGAAGAAACGCCACTCGCCGCCAAGAGGAGATAGGCAATCAGGACTGGGGCTTTGTTTGGGTTTGAGAAATAACAATCCCAAATGAAGTCTCAACACAGTGTCAGGCTATTTAGCTTAGTCTTTGTTTATCAGCCATTTGTCTTCATTGACTAAGTTGGACGTCAAAACCTTTTTTTTAAAAAGAGTCTAAAGTTCTTTATGCTCTTACTCAAAGGTTACACAATTGTGAGTTGTAAATACTGTAGAGGCCTACTTGTTTATGTAATGCACATGTTTCTTGGCAGAACATAAAGGGGTGTGTAATGAAACAAAATAAAATGAAAGGTTGCTTAAGAACGTTGTTTTACCAGAAAGAACAACATTCGGATGTTAAAGGAAGCATGCCTTTTCCTATCCTGTTAAAGCTTTCTACGTCCTATATCAATTTGAGCTTGTAAGATATTTAGACTCAGGTGAAATTCAGCTGTAGCATATATGACAGCTCGTGCGCCCACAGAATCCCAGCTCAATACTACAGCTCGTGTGCCCACAGAATCCCAGCTCTATACTACAGCTCGTGTGCCCATAGAAACCAGCTCTATAC